CTGTGGGGGCCTTCTTGATGCCTTACAAAACCGTTACAGTCCGATGTTACACACATTCATTATTTCAGGATGTCCCTAGCGAAATCGTCATTTTTAGATGACTGGCTTAAACCATCTAGAAGCCTTTTCAGGAGCGATCCCCAGACGATGTTAAAACAGCAGTTTTCAAAACGATGTTGTTCGATTTGTTATTGTGTTGAAGATGTCCCTAGCAAAATCACTATGTTCAGCAACCTTAAGGGCGCTCTTGGGGCCATGTTGTGGCCTTCTGTTGCTCCCTGATGCCCTCCTAAAATCATTACGATGCGATGTCGCACGCATCAATGTTTTGAGGATGTCCCTAGTGAAATCGACATTTTTTGAAGGCTGCCTTGGGCCGTCTGGAAGCCTTTTCAGAAGCAAAGTCAAAACTATGTAAGAACAACAGTTTTCAAGTCGATGCTGGTGTATGTTTTCATGTTTTGAGGATGTCCCTAGCGAAATCGCTATTTTCGGAAGTCCCCCAATCGTTCTGACAGCCATCTCGACGTGCTTTTTGGCCTCTCATTTCCTCATCTTGAGGCACTTCGAGAACGATACCAAGACGACGTTGAGGACATCTCATTTTGTTGAGGATGTCCCTAGCGAAATGCACATTTTCTGTCGTGCTCTTCGTTCTGGTCCGCCGTGCTGCCGCTCGTTTTCTGAGGATGTCCCTAGCGAAATCGCAATTCTTAACATAAGAGTTAGTTAAATACTTCAGTCGTCATCTCATTTTCGCGAGGATGTCCAGAGCGAAACGCAAATTTTCACAGACGGCGACATTTCGCTGTCATCAACTGTTCGAAGATGTCTCGAACGAAACGCTTGTTTTTGTTAAACGCGATGTCGCGAAGATCTCATTTGTGTGAGGATGTCTCACGTAAAATCGCCATCCCGAGGAATCCGCTAAGCCTGGTACACCGTGCGCCCCGCCACCCCCTATAGTTAAGAGATCTCTTACTGATATGAGGAGGATTCAGCCAAAACGTCCAGCTCGCTTCTCGTTCCTCGAAGACGCTTCCCGTCATCCGCCGATCCCCCGCTTGCTGGGGGTGAGAAGGCGTGTGAGATGAGTGGCTGTCCGCCCGCCCCCTTCCTCCTCCCCCAGAGTCCAAGATCCCGTTCAAAAGGGGGGGGATGGGGGGGGGAGGGGGGGGCGATATCTGGGCTACTCGGCGCACCCCTGGAGACTCCAGAGCTTCCACATATGCCTCCTGTGGCCTCGACAACTTTCCGAGAGGGTCCCGAGACGCGGAAAGATTGGCCCAAGACGCCTACCATGGCTCCGAGACGCCCCAAGGCGCCTTCGAGACGCCCCGAGAGCCTTCCGAAGAGGGCCCCGAGAGGCAAAAATCTAATGTTTTCCGTTGGTTTCTCATTGATTCTAGGGTTATCGTCTTCTCTAACTTCCGACGATCCAAGACGGCCCAAGAGGCCCCGTAGACCGCCCCAACACTGCAAGACGGCCCAAAGAGGGGCCCAAGACGGCCAAATATTGCCCCGAGAGAGCCCCAAGAGAGGCGAAGAGGGAGAACACGAACCGAAAATCCAATCTCTTCTGCCCACAGGGGCCCCCCAAAAGACACCAAATGGCTCCAAGAGGCCCCCAAGCGGCCGAAAAGAGGCCCCCAATGAGCCCCAAGAGGCCCCCGAGAGGCCCGAAAGAGGCCCCACGGCGGCCCCCAACACGCTTCAAGGGTGCCTCCAAGGAGGCTACGCCAGGCCCCCAAACATCCCCCAAACATCCCCCAAGACGCCCACAAAAATCCCCACATAATGCCCAAGAAACCCACGCGCCTCAACCGTGGACTCCACGCCTCTTCTCTGGGTCGGCGGAATGGCATGAGCCTCTTGAATCAATTCTGTAGTCGATCTCTCACTCGAAGGACAGGCCAACAAGCCTCGCGTCTGGCGCCTGCAGCCCAGCGGATGCGCGGGACCACCTCTACGCGCGCGAGCACGTGGCCTCCCACGGAAGAGCCCTGACTATGCAGAGTGCTAAGACACGGTCCTCTAGATCTGCAGACCCATCCTGACTGCCTGAAAACCTTCACTGCTGGAATTTCGACGTCGAGATCCTGCTGCTACGTTTGAGCCCTCCTGTGGAGAGGCCTCCCCGATGGGGTCGGCGTAGATGGGGCCGGAGGATCTCGCCGCATCGCCGATGCAGCGACGACGTCCGCACAGAGAAGATCGGGCTCCACGTCGAGCCGCGTCGCCGACGCATCGGCGATGCGCAGCGCAATCCTCCGGCCCCGTCGACTCCGACCCCCTCCCCGAGGCCCAGATCCGCGGGGCCCGGGCCGCGGAGCGCGGCTGGCGCGGGCACTCCCCGCGCCGCCCCCGCGGGCTGCCCTCCCCCCCCCCTGGGCACGGGGACGCGGCCCGGGGTACCGGGGCAGTCTTTCATACGTGGGATGCATTCCAAATATTGGACTTTGAATGCATGCTCAAGTCATGAATAAATTTCTGCATGAACTCGTTTTTGTTTATGGTGCTACGGCAGGTTCGTGTCGTGTCGACCCCAGCGTTGGTTCTTGACACCGCAGGGATCGTTCAACCTTGAACGACCGGCCGCTGCCGCAACGTCCGATCGTTCCACATCGATCGATTCTGGGTCGCCGGCGGCGTTCAAACTTGAACGCCCGCGCTGGGGTCGCCGCTGGTCGACACGACGCAAACCTACCGTAAATCCCTGCATGTTTCATCCGCACGCGGAGCACGCATCAAGAACGGCACTGGTGCCGGGGCCGCTCCCGAGGGCGCCCCGCCCAGGCACCTCGGGACCTCGGGGTGCCTGGCAGGCAGCTCGCGCCAACCCTGGAGCCCCGGGGTGCCCCGCCGGGCCTCGGAGGCGGGGCGGTTCCCATGGAGCGGCTCGGGCGCTGCTCGGCGGGGGGGGGCGCTGACCCTGACCTGACAGAGCGCGAAGAAACAGCACTCCAGGCCTATACGCCTATGTGGACTGCTCAAAGCCTCCAGTGCAGGTTAGACGTCAAGGTCCTGGGGCAATGTTTAAGCCCTGCTGGAAGGTCAGGAGAATGGGGGGTAAACAACGCGTGTATATCTATATACACACATATATATATATATATAGATGCACTAGAACCACGCGCGCGCTTCGCGCGCGCTTAGGTTCTAGTCATGGTTGCATTACGTTTTGCAGCGTTCGTTCTCGTCCGTCTGATGGGCGGCGACACTGGGACGTTCGCCGCACGTGGCCGTTGCAGAGCCTCCATTCGCTTCGCTCCCCTCCCCCTCCTCCTCCCGCATCGTCGTCGTCGTCGTCTTCGTCGTCGTCCTCCTCGTCCTCGTCCTCCCCCTCTTCTTCATCCCCCCCTCCTCCTCCTCTTCCTCGTCCTCGTCGCACCTCTGCTCCCGCCCCTGCTCGCCCTACCTCTTTCTTTCTTTCTTTCTTTCTCTCTCTCTCTCTCTCTCTCTCTCTCCCCCCCCCATTTACTGCATATGCATTCTCCCTCGCGCTGTTCATCTTCCTCCTCCTTTCCGTCCTCTCGTCCTGCTTCAAGGCTGCACGAATTGAGCCAATCAAGCTACGGGGGAGCCTTTGAGGCAGTCTTGGAGCGTCGGGAAGCCGGAAAGGCGGGAAGGTGAACAACTTTCAACAATCTGGAATTTGCGTCTCTTGGGGCCTCTTGGGGGGCCTCTTGGAGCTCTCTTGTAACGTATTGAAAGCGTGTTGTGCCTTCTGGAGGCTCTCTTGAAGCGTATTGGGGGGGTCCTTGGCCGTCCAGAAGCCCTCATGGGCGTCTGGAAGCGATTAGGCAGTTTCGGCGATTCCAGAAGCGTTCTTGGGAGCCTCTGGAAGTCTCTTGGGCTTCTGGGAGCCTCTTGGGCTGCTGGGCGCTCTCTTGGGAGCTCATGACGCCTCAAGAGGCGCCCAAGACGGCCTCAAGGTGGCTCCAAGAGGAGCCTAAAAAGAATACCACGAACTCTGAATTCCATGCCTCCCGCTCAAAGAGGAGGACAACGAAATGGAATAGGAGGGGGAGGAGGAGGAAAATCAAGAGGAAATTGAGGACAATGGAGACGAAGAGAAGCGGAAGAGGAAAGGGAAGAGGAGGAGGAGGAGGAGGAGCAGGAGGGAGAAGGAGGAGGGGAAAGGCGGAGGAAGAGGAGGAGCGCGATGAAGGGGGGAGCAGACGAGGTGGAGGCAGAGGTGCGTGAGGCGAAGGAGGAAAACGAGGGTTATGAAGAGTGCAGCAGGGACCCCTTCCCAGGCGCGCGCTCTGGTGCTACCTTGTCGCGCCCCCGGGGGGTGGGGGGGACACATCCTGCTCCCCCACCCCAACAGAGATCACCGTGGACCCCCGCACAGCGAAGATCACGCTGACAGGCTCAGCCCCCCTTAAACCTTGATGTCAGTCTACCAGGAGCAGGAGGAGGGAGGAGGAGGAAGAGGGGGAGGACGGAGGATGAGGAGGGAGGATGAGGCAAGAGGAGGGTGAGAGGAAGATCAGGAAGGGGAGGGAGGAGGGAGGAGAAGAGGAGGGAAGAGCAGGAGGAGGAGGAGGAGGATCAGGAGGAGGGTGATGACGAGGATGAGGAGGATGAAGGGGAGAATGATGGAACAGGTTGGAGCAGGAGCATGACGAGGAGGGAGACGAGGAGGAAGGAACAGGAGAAGGAGGGATGAGGAGAATGCGGAGGATGATGATGAGGGGAAGAAGCGTCCTCTTCCTCCTCCTCTCGCGGGCTTCTTGGAGGCAGGTTCGAAGCCTCTTGGGGGACGCCGTGTTGGACCCTCTGGGGCTTCTTGTGGGCCTCTTGGGGGCCTCTTGGGGCCCTCTTGGAAGCCTCTTGGGGCCCTCTTGGGGGCCTCTTGGGGCCTCTTGGGAGCGTCCTGGGGCCTTCTTGGGTCGGGTTCCCCCTCTTGGGCTGCTCTTGGGGCGGACTTGGGGCCCTCTTGGGCTGTCGTGGGAGCCGCCTGGGCCGTCTTGGCGCCCTCTTGGGCCGTCTTGTGCGCCTTTTTTTACAAGTCAAGACAAAACAAGCTCATTGAGTCCAGCAGGTCGACCGCGAAATCGAAGAACTAGGACACCGAGGGTGCGGCCATTCTGACAGCTTCAGTAAAAACAGGGAGTGCAACTCATCCAAATCGCAGGCCTAAGATATGTGAACACTCATGCACGGCAAGGGCCACGACAGTGGAGCACGCCTTGATGGCAAATGCGAGAAGTGTCACGCGCTGTCGCCCCGGCGGGCGGAGCGCGTGCGGTCATGCAGAGGAGGGGGAGTCAGGAGGGGTGAGGAGAGACGCTCTCGGGCAGTCTGACTTCAAACACCACGCACTGCCACGCCAGCAGGCGGAGCGCGTGCGGTCGCGAATTCGGAAGCTCCTCGAGGGGCTCGTGGTTACGGCCTCCTCGGGGTCTTTCACCCTCTAGAAGGAGGAAGAGGAGGAGGAGGAGGAGGAGGAGGAGGGGGAGGAGGAGAAGGAGGAGGAGGACAAGGAGGAGGAGGACAAGGAGGAGGAGGGTGTGGAGCTCGAGGGTCTGAGGCCCCTCCGCGGGCCCCAGATCTGGCCCGGAGCGGCAACACGTCCTTTCCAAGCGCTCACCGCCGCATCCCCGGTGTTCATTCCGTGAACCGACGCATTTCGGCGGGCGACGTCACGAACCGCTCCAGGGCGTTCGGTGGAGCGCCGAGAGCGCTCCGGAGCCCCGGCGTCCGATTGGGACAGGTCGCTCCGAGCCCGTCGCACAAAATTTCGCTGCGCGTGCAGCCTTTCGCGCCCACCGCGAGATGGACCACACTGTTTCCTCGGCGGGGTATTGCGCGGCGTCTACCCGGTACGCGACCGCGGCGGCCGCGGGCGGCAGCGTGTGAATGAGGAACAAATATGAACAGAAATGGCGAGTACTCTTCCTCGGCAAACTGGGAGATAACTGACTCACTGAAGACTGCCAGGCATATAATCCAGCCACTGGCCCTTGTAGCCATTGGCCCTCTCGATGAGAAGGAGCAGTTGCAGCATGATAACGAATAGCTCGCGTCCAGAGCGTGAATGGAACGACTGAGAAATGACAGACGATGACCGACGCATGCAACGCGAGCGACGCCTGTGGGGTTGTCTTGGGACTCTCTAGGGGGCCTATGGGACCGAGCCCGCGTGCACCGCGGCGCCGACTGTCGGCTCGAGGAGCAAGAGGAAGCAGAAGGGTGAAACAGTCTCAGCCCTCCTGCGGTGGGCCGTCGTTTTGAATAGAGAGCTCTGGTCTCCAGTCCTCTTCTCTTTGTTCCACTGCAAGCGGGCATCATTTTTCTGGATGGGCCGATGCGTCAGCGATTCCGTGTCGCATGAGTTCCCGACGTCCACTGGCCTTCAACAGGAGGGCTTAAATCAAAACTTGTTCGGGGTGCGCATGGTCGTCCACGATGCACGGGGCCTGCGAGCAATCACAGAAATCGCAGCAGTCCTGGTCATGCAGCATCAGCAGCCCACAGTTGTCGCACTGGCCGCAGACCATGCCTTCGTGCTTCACCGCGCATGTCCTCTGGTCAAGCTGTTTCAGCACCGTGTTCAGGGAGTCCAGAGCATCGTGCAGCCAGCAGCAGGCCCTGCCCGACGTCGAAACGTTCCACTTCAGCGCCAACTCTAGCAGCGTGAGTGTCTGCGTGCGCAGCGGCGTCGGCTTGTAACCAGGGTGCGTCAGCTGCGCCTGCGCGCACGCGCTGTGGCTGCCGAGCGGCGGCGCCGCGGCGCCGTTCGAGGCCTCTCCAGTCTGCAGCACCTCGTTCTCCTGCACTGGGGGCAGGTCCCTGGAGCCCGTGCAGGAAACGAGCGAGCCAACGCTGATGCTGCTGGTCTGCCTCACCTCCACCACGCCGAGAAACTCCTCGAGCCCGTCGTTCTTGGCCGCGGCGTCCGCGGAATCGGGCATGGCTGCGCCCTGGCCCTGTGACCTCCTGCCCCCGCCGTTAGGCCCCCTGACGCCCAGCTGCTCGATCACCGCATCCATGGCCCCGCTGACGACGTGGCCCAGCACCATGGACAACGCGCGGCTGGCCTGCCGCACCGAAGGGCGCAGCGCGGGCTTCACCTGGGTGCACTGCTCCACCAGCGGCCGGCAGGCGTCCGAGATCTCGTTGGCGGGCATGGGCCACGTCAGCTTGGGCGGCTGCCCGCCCCGCAGCCGCTTGGCCACCTGCACGGCCCGCATGTCCTCGAAGGGCAGGAGCCCTGTCGCGATGAAGCGCGTCAGCAGCCCGAAGGAGTAGCAATCGGCGGCCGTGTCGGGGGGGACGCGCGAGAACAGCTCTGGAGCCATCCACCGGATCGTGCCGCCGAGAGGCCTGGCACTCCGGGTGAGGATCCGCGACAGGCCAAAGTCGAGCAGCTTGGCGCGGTGCGAGATCCCCCCGATCCTGCTGTGCCGCTCCTCGACGAAGACGTTGGAGTCCTTCAGGTCGGCGTGGACGACGACGGGCTCCCTCGAATGCAGGTAGCACAGCGCGTGCAGGATGTCGAAAATGAGCACGGACATCACGGAGATACTGTTCGCCACTGCCCTGGCCTCCGAGGCTCCACCGCGCGGCTCCCCGGGCCCCTGGCGGCCGCGTGATGCTGGGCCACGGAGGAATGCGCCCAGGGACACACCGTCCACGAACTCGAGCACCAGGCACAGCCTGCTCAGGGCCTCGTCCATGCACGCTCCGTACAAGACCGCGATATTGGGGTGGCGGATGCGGCGAAGGATCCTCAGCTCGTTGCAGAGCTCGGGCAATGCCGAGGAGATGGCGCCTTCCCGCGCGATGTCCCGCCTCGGCGTCTTCACCACCACGATTGTGTTGTGGTACAGGCCCGGCGCAACGACGCCGAAGCCGCCCTCGCCGAGGACCCTGTCGGGCAAGATCTGCACCTCCTCGTTGGCAATGAGCCACTGCTCCCGCAGGCCGATCGCGCGGATCTGGTCCAGCGGCGCGTTCTCCACGCTGCCGTCGAACGCCGCTGCGCTCATCGTCGTCCCCGGGCGCGACAGCTTGGCAGACCGCTCGGAGCCGGCGTCCTCTGCCCTCGCCGCCGCCTCGCCACTGCCCACCCTGGACAGCTGGAACTCGGCCTGGAACCGCATCTGCTTCTCCGACAGGAGCCCCGCAAAGAGCTGGCGCTCCTGCCACTCGAAGGCCCGCTTCCCGAAGGCCGCGACGAGCGTGAGCACGAGGATCGCGAGGCCGTTGAACGGGACCATGTTTGTGGCCGGGCTGCCGAGCAGCACCGCGGGCACGGCGTAGGCCAGGATCGAAACCACCTCCAAGGGGGCGAGCACGAACCAGCGGATGGGCATCACCCAGTGCACGAAGGTGACAACCACATCGATGTACAGTATCAGGGTGCCGTCGGTGGGGCCCAAGTCCACGCCCCAAATGGCCTCCGCGTCGCGGTGGCCGAACGATCGTGCAATGTAGTGCTTCGGAATGACCCCTATAAGTATCATGAAACAGCTTGCTGCAGAAACAACAAGGATCTCCAACGCCAGGGTACTGGAAAACTTTTGCTTGGCAATGAATCTCCCAGCTCCGAGGGCGAGGATCCCGGCCACGTGGACGACCACAAAGATGAGCATCTGCCACTTCCTGAGCTCTCGAGCCTCCTCTGTACGGTACTGAGAGTCGTCCCAGAATCTGTGGAACATCAAGCTCATCAGGCCCTCAACCGCAAGTACCCCAGCCCCATACGACATGCTGTGGGCCAGCCGCTCCTTGTGGAGGCTCGCGAAACCCTCCTCCTTCCTCGGGTCCGCGAACTTCAGCGTCAGGCGGCCGATGCCGTTCTTGAGCCGCGCCCGCCTGCGGCGCCGGCACGGTCTGCCGCAGCACGCTGCCCTTCTGCGCCTCTCCGCGGGTGGAGCCACCATGAAGACCGATCGGTACTTGTGATGTTGCTTATGTCGATGCGGGCACTCCGTCCACACGAGCGCTCACTCAGCTGACACAGTGCCTGGCTTCGAGCCACCACGTTGAAGCAGCGAAGCGTGACCCCAAATGGCTCGAGCCAGAATGCCACCTTGAGCCAAAATGGCTGCGGACCGTCTTGGGCGCCTCTTGCAAGCTTTTTGGGCCTTCTCTGAGCGGTTTCGGGGGCCTCTTGGACCGTCTTCAACGCCGTGAAGGCTGGAAAGTCATGTATGCAAACATGTACGTTTTCACATGGAAAATCAAAAAGGTTTTGGCCTCTTGGAGCCTTCTTGGGGCGCTTCTTCGAGGCCTCTTGGGCCGTCTTGGAGGCCTCTTGGGCTGTCTTGGAGCCGTCTTGGGCATCTAAGAGCGATCTTTGGTCGATTCGGGGCCGTTGGGGGGCCGTCTTGGCCGCTTCCCGGGCCCCAAAAAAGCATGCGGGCCTGTTTGGGCGGCCCGGCACCCCCATGGAGGACCAAGGCTGCTGGGCCAGGCCCCCGTGTCCCTGTCCCCGGATATATATATATATATATATATATATATACATATACATATATATAGATGTATGTATGTATGTATGTATGTATGTATGTATGTATGTATGTATGTATGTATGTATGTATGTATGTATGTATGTATATATGTATGTATGTATGTATGTATGTATGTATACGCATATGCATATATGCATATATGCATATATGCATACATGCATACATGCATACATGCATACATGCATACATGCATGTGCACATACATACGTATATGCAAGTATACATATGTATGTATATGTATATGCTGATGTTATGTATGCGTATATGTATATGTATATGGATATGTATATGCATATGCATATGTATATGTATATGTGTGTATGTATGTATGTGTGTAAGTGTACGCGTATATGTACGTGTATATGCACATGTGTATGTAAATGTATGTGGGTAGGTCGGTAGGTAGATACGTAGGTATGTAGGTATGCATGTATGCCAGTTGTTTCGCGCAGTGCTCGGTGATTTGCTTGTGCTCCTGCCCTATCTCTCTGAGTGCGATCTCTGTCTCG